CTTTCCCAAAGGCATAAGAGTATGGGTTGAACATAGAGTTGAAAAACCTGTTGTTCCAAACTGAGTAACATTTGTTTTATCTTGAAACATTTTTGAAAATCTATAATGAGTAAATTGCATGTATTAAGTATAGTGATTCGTAAATCTTGACAGGTGCATGAAACTGAATCCATCATTATACTCACAATACTGAGCATATCTGTGACTGTGTAGTTGCTTCATGGCCTCATTTAATCTGTCCTTATTCTTCCCAGCTTTTCTGGTAACCATGGTTTTACATTTCATTTTAATGGAGAACTTCGCTTTTTCTAAGTATTTTTCTGCTTTAATTTATATTTCATAAATTCTTGGACATTTATTAAAGATATATTAGTAACTCATTGTTTTGATAGTTATTCTTTTTGTTGTTGTTAATCCTCACCCGAGGATATTTTTACATTGATTCTTTTGGACAGTGGATGAGAGAGGAAAAGACAGAGAGAAACATTGATGTGAAGGAAACACATTGATTGGTTGCCTCCTGTATCACCCCTCACCAGTGCCCTGGCTGGAAGGAGTCTTCAACCAAGGTATGTGTCTTTGACTGGAATGGAACCTGGGACCCTTTGGTCTGTAGACCTATGCTCCATCCAGAACCAAATAGGCCAGAGCTCTGGTAGATATTCTTATCTTTGAATATATCGCCATCATGTCCATTTTAATAAATATTTGGTTATTTTTTAAATATATATATTTTTTAATTGATTTTTTTACAGAGAGGAAGGGAGAGGGATAGAGAGTTAGAAACATCAATGAGAGAGAAATATCGATCAGCTGCCTCCTGCACACCTGCTACCGGGGATGTGCCCACAACCAAGGTACATGCCCTTGACCGGAATCAAACCTGGGACCTTTCAGTCTGCAGGCCGATGCTCTATCCACTGAGCAAAACCGGTTAGGGCAATATTTGGTTGTTTTTAATAAAGGTGGTACAAACATTTCTGTATAATTCTTTATATGGATATAAATGTTATTTACCTTCCTCAGAGGGACATCTCCCACAGGATCCCGGACTGTGAGAGAGCACAGGACGGACTGAGGGATCCCACCTGAGTGTATAAATTTCATGCCCAAGGCCTCTATTTTAAACAAATGAACCAGAATATCACGGTTCCATTCACAGTCAAGGAGGATTCCTGAGCCCCGCGTAGATCTGCAGTGTGGGATATGCAGGAGGTAGCTGATGAATGATTCTGTCTCAGCATTGATTTTTTTTCTCTATCTATCTACTTTGAACTCCAGCATCTCCCTGCAGAGACCTTCCCAGGCCAGGCAATGCTCACAAGGACATTTGTCTTTGGGTGCATTTTAGTGAGACATGGGACCTATAAGAAGCTACTGACTCTCCTGCTGGGCGGCAGGTACTGTGGGCACTCAGGTGTCATTGTGCTGGGCCCCACCGAGGAATGTCCAGCAGACTTCCTAGAGCTCCCTGAGTGTCAGTTGTCTGAATGTGACATTCAGATGATTGATGGTGTAGAGGTCAAGTGGAATTAAGTTAATTAGAAGAGGACATTCTGCCAGGAAAAGGAAGCCCTCTGCTTCTCCGTATCCTGTCGCCTGGCTCATCTCAGCGTCACCGTTGACAAATAACATCAACAGATGGCGCTTGCTTTGGCCTTCCAACATCAATAAAAGTACCAGGCTGAGTACTTGTTGCCAGGATTTTAAGGTTAGATTTTTGACCATTTTCTTTGTTAATGCTCACAAGAACCTGGGTAAGTGGAAACTCATATCAAATTGCTGAAAAAATTCAGTAACTGAGAAATGAAGTCAGCTCCCCAAGTTTATACCACAGACAAGTGTCAGATTGAAGGGGCTGGATTTCAACCATTATTATCTCCAGCGTCAGACACAGTCTCTACCACTGATGTGCAGCCCTCCCTGGAGCAGGTACAGTATGAGGACCAGGGTGGCTCAGCTGCAGCTCCTGTTTCCATGGTTGCAGTTATTCGTTTCCTCCTGTTCCCTTTACATCTCAGAGCACTTCCCTTGACTTTCTGTGTTGAGGGCAACGCCACCATCTGTCATTCTGAGAGTTCGGAAAAGCAGCTGCTTCAGGTGCAAGCAGATGCTCAGGCCCTTCCCGCCTCTGACGGCTCTGCTGCAGCAGTTCCCGGGGGTGACCTGAGCCAGGACCTGGTTGCACGCGGGGGGAATGTTTCAACCACGGCCTGTGTTCATTCCTACGTTAACATGGTCCCTTTTCGTTTCCTTTGCTGCTCTGGAAAGCAATGCTGTCCAGGCCGGTGCCAAGGCTAAGGTGCCCAGAGAAGGTGCGTTCAGGCAGGTCCCCCCACAGCCCCTGGGTCTCCTGCCTGGCATGGCCTACTCAGGCCGCCTGCTCTAAGAGGAAGGGTCCTCCTGCCTATAGACTCCTATCCAATGCCAAGCACAAGGCTCCTCAGTGGCCCCGCCCAGACCCATCCTGTGCTGAGAGGAAGGAGCAGCTCCAGGAGGGACCCTTGCTCTGAGCACAGGCCCCTCCTGACCCTGAGCTCTGAGAACTGGAAGTGTTTAACTTGGATTGAGGAGCATTGAAAGCTTCATTTATTTATAGCTTGTCTAAAAACAGTGTTGATAAGAAATCTTTGGTTATTCATGCAAATGCTGAGTTGATGGGAGACAAGTCATAATCTAATTGTTTTTGTCGAGGTTAAGAGTGAATGTTGCTGATGAAATCAACGTGAAAAGGAGAAAGAAAAATAAAAGGAAATGCTCAAAGCTCAGGTGACTTTGTTTTTATTGTGTGTGAGCATATTTTTTAATGTTTACCTGGGGATCTTTCTTTTTACACCCCTCCCCCTTGCTCCCCCCACACACATTCCCTCTGAGATTCTGCAGTAATTTCTATGCTTACATGTCTCTGAATTCACTCCATTCATCAGTGTTTTATTCATTACACTCTATATATGAGTGAGATCAAGTGATGCTTGTCTTTCTCTGACTGACTTATTTCCCTTAGCAAAATACTCTTCAGGTCCCTCCATGCTGTCTCAAAGGGTAAGAGATCCTTCTTTTTTACTGATCCATAGTATTCAAAATAGTTTGGTACCATAGCTTTTTTATCCACTCATCTACTGATGGGCACTTGGGCTGTTTCCAGATCTTAGCTATTGTAAATAACACTG